AGGGGGCCTGTCTCCCCTCCGGGGGCAAGACGTTCCAAAGGGCGGGGGCTACAGCAGAGAAGGCCCGCCTTCTGGACCCCGCTAGTCAGAGTTCTTTTGCCAAGGGGGTTCAGAGCATGCCCTCTCTGTGCGATTGGGTGGGATGGGTTGAAATAGTGGGGGAGAGGCGGTCCCTCAGGGCCAGATGGGCCAGAATCTAGCAATGCCTGCAAAAGTCATACTCTAAACAACCATTCAGGAGCAGAAAGTTTCCCTTTTCTTTCACTGATTGAAATTTGTGTAACTCAGTCTCCTTCTTCTTGACCAATCTTGCTAAAGAGACCTCTGTGAGAATCTCATTCAGAAAGAATCACTTTCAGTCTCAGGCAGTTGTTAAAGTGCTGACCCTTTTCCTAATCACTCTCAATTTGGAAGAAGGAAGGAAGGAAGGAAGGAAGGAAGGAAGGAAGGAAGGAAGGAAGGAAGGAAGGACTTAATGTATATTGAATATATTGTTTCTAGATGGGAACTAGTTCAGTTGCCAAAATTCTTGCAACCCCATCTCCTTCCTCTCAATAAATCTTGCTAAAGAAGACTCAGTGAGAATCTTGCTTGCTCCAACCCTTCTGGTGTCAGGCAGCTGCCAAAGAGAGTGATGGCTATAGCTAATTTCAGGAAAAAGACCTGCATTTCATTGGTGGCATTAAAGACGACCTGGGAGTGGTATACCCATTGAATCTTTTTCTCCTTGACGACTCCTTTCTCCGGACAACACTTAATCTTCTTTGCTTAATGTGTTCTTGGGTAGCCCTTCTTTCAGTCCAGGTGTACTGAAAGCTGTCGGCTTGGCCAGACTAAAGTGGTGCTAGAAGGAAGGCCTCTCTGCTGCTATGGATGTGCCTTGTGTGCAGAAGGGACCATCTCCTCTCTGGAAGGTGGGTGGCTCCAAAGGGAAGGCTCCTCAGACCTGAACAATTTTTTACTCAGGTATTTCTGGATGAAATAAAATGTCTGCAGGGGTATTGACCAATGGGTTTTGCCTTTCTGTTGCTTTCATTTATTTATAATTTCAACCCATTGTTTCTGCATCCAAAACAATCCCAAGGCAATGTGACTTTTTAACTTAATTTATTTACTATGTTTTTTTAAAAAAATGCCATTAAATTAACTATTCTGTTTGACTGATTTGATTAAATAGAAGAAAAAATAGAAAAGGAAAAAAGGAAGAGGGCAAAACAATTAAAAATTATACACGCATGCACACATACACACATATCTGTATGCAACATTTTCAGTAAAGAATGACCATATTTGGTATAGTTTTATTCCACCACACTCTACAAGGACTCGTAACAATGATCAATTAAAAGCAAATATTGAAGACACTGCTTCAAACCACAATTCAAAATATAATAAATTCATAACATTCTGAATTCATAATTTGTTTGTTAGCTTTATATCTTGCCCTTCAAACAAGAGCTCAAGAGAGCATACAGAGTGTTTCCTTCCTCCTATTCTACCCCCCAACAATAACCCTGTGAGGTAGGCTGGGCTGAGAGAGGGTGATTCTGGTTGAAAGTTGCCCAGGGAGCTTACATGGCTGAGGGTGGACTAGAACCTTTCTCTCCCTACTCCTAGTCCAGCACCTTAACCACTTCACCCAACTGTCTCTTGCCAATTCACTCCAACATAATACATTCTTTAGGCATCCCACTGACCAAATTTGAACCCCCAAAGTTCTTCCTGAACAGCTCCATTTGTGTGGCTTTCTTGAAGACCAGAAGCAAAGATCCCATCTGGATCACCAGAGAGACTGTTTTGGGTTTCACTACGGAAACACTCAGGTTTCTTGCTCTCCCCACAATTCTCCTGTAGAAGGAACCCACCATTTATCTATATGCAGGACATTCAGCCTGAATGAGTAGGATCCAGTTGAAACCTGAGAGATGCTTTGCGAAACTGCTTGAGGCATCTTCACTTTCATACAACTCTTACCATTCTGGAAAATTAAATGTTTTTCCAGTTCTTTCATGGTAGTCAGTATTTAACACTGAGACTCAGAAAAGGTTTAAAGAAAGTGAGACAGCAGCTTTTCAGCAGAAATTCCTTGCAATTTTTTTACAACTAAAAACAGCTCTTTTCCTAAAATCAGGGGTCATATAGATGGTCCACTCCCCCAGGAAATGTTGAGGTTCTACAAAGCTCATTGAGCCCTTTAGTACTAGAAAAGGAAAAGGTATGTACCTAATAGTCAAATCATTTGTTGTCTTCTTCTCAGATGCAGACCACTGCACCACATGTCCAGATGACCAGTATCCAGGGAAGGATCAAGTTCAGTGTATCCCCAAGATTAAAAGCTTCTTGTCCTATGAAGAAATCTTGGGAATCACTTTAGCTTCCTTTGCCCTATTTTTTTCCTTCACCGTAGGATGTGCCTTAGGAATTTTTACTAAATTCCGAGAAACTCCCATAGTCAAAGCCAACAACCGGGATCTCTCTTACATCCTCCTCATCTCCCTGTTGTTTTCCTTCCTGACTTCCTTCCTTTTCATTGGGCAGCCAAGGAAAGCCACCTGCCTTCTCCGGCAAACAGTTTTCAGCATCGTCTTCTCAACTGCTGTCTCCTCGGTCTTAGCCAAGACAATCACAGTGGTGCTTGCCTTTCTGGCCACAAAACCAGGAAACACCATGAGGAGGTGGCTGGGAAAGACTCTGGCCAATTCCATTGTTCTTTCTTGTTCTGGGATTCAAACTCTCATTTGTTGCATTTGGCTAGGAGTCTCTCCTCCATTCCCTGATTCTGACCTGCACTCCCAACCTGGTGAGATCATCCTGCAATGCAATGAAGGCTCCGTCACCATGTTTTATGGAGCTCTTGGCTACATGGGCTTCCTAGCTGCCATCTGCTTCATGATGGCTTTCCTGGCCAGGAACCTCCCTGGGGCCTTCAACGAAGCCAAGCTGATCACCTTCAGCATGCTGGTCTTCTGCAGTGTCTGGGTCTCCTTCGTGCCCGCTTACCTGAGCACCAAGGGAAAGTACATGGTGGCCGTGCAGGTCTTCTCCATCTTGGCCTCCAGTGCCGGCCTGCTGGCCTTCATCTTCATCCCCAAGTGCTACATTATTTTGCTAAGACCAAATCTGAATACAAAGGAACAGCTGAGGGCAAAAACAAGAGATGGCTTGAAAGTGAACGCAACATAATGGCAATAGTGTTTCATGTATGTTAACCCATCCTAGGCTGTAGATAAGCATTACCATATTTTAGGCAGCAGAGAACTGGAGGCTGAATCCTGATTTCAACAGAGAGGAACAGCTAATGACAACAATTAAACTCTGAAACCTGTATTCTTGTTTTCTATAAGGACCTCCTTGACTGCAACAAATCTTCCTTCCCTTCATATGAATGATCAATAAATTTGACTGAATTACTATGACCGTTGTAAGTGTATGAATGCGGAAACCACCGGCCCTTTTGGTATAATTTCTTTTTATAAATCTCATTTTATAACAGGTTGACTCTACCCAGAAAGCTTTAACAACCCTGGTTATTTGAACCAATCAACATTTCCATTTGTTTCTCCTGTTGGCCCCCTTTCCTCTGCCATCATAGGTTTGTTTTTTTCTGACTTCCCCCCATCCCCACCATAAAATGGCTTCTCTCTCTAGTTCTGTGACATCTAACAGGGACAAGAGGAGAAGCAGAAAGATGAAAGAAAGAAGACAGCAACATTTCTCTTCTTTTCCTTATGCCTTTCATGTCCTTGGCCCTTTCCTCAGCATTCTCACCATCTAGAAGGCTGTTCTAGAACCTTTTTTTAAATATTTTTTTATCCACCTTTATTGTTTTTATAAATAACTCAAGGTAGCAAACATACCTAATACTCCTTCCTCCTCCTATTTTCCCCACA